AAATAAGATATTTAACAGGTCATAAGAACACTTTCCAAAAAAAAAAAAAAGAACCTGACTAGTTGACTAGAAATGATAGGAGAATTGATGCCTTTGAATTGTGGTACTGGAGAAGAGTATTGACTAGACCATGAACTGCTAAGAGAACAATCAGATTGATGCTAGAGAGAGTGAATTCAGGCTGCTCCTTGGAGGCAAGGATTCTGAAGCACCACCTGATATACTTTGGGCATGCTGCAAGGAAGGACCAGCCCTTGGAGAGAGACATCATGATTGGGAGGGTGGAGGGACAGTGCAAGAGAAGACCCTCAATGAGATGAATTGATTCAGTGACAAGGGTATGGAGATTCGGATGTCAGAAACAATATGATTGGCACACACTAGAGGAGGGTTCAGAGCTATTATACATAAGGTCACTATGAGTCACAGGTGACACATAACAACAGTTGACTTCACTGCGGTCAGAGAAAAGCTGACCCCAATTCTATTCAAATTTTTTCAGAACAGATTAAAAAGATGGCCTACTCCTGAATTCGTTTTATGAAGCAAGTATAACCTTAATACCAAAGCCAGGCAAAGACGTCGCTCAAAAAGAAAACTACAAATATCAAAAAGATCAGTATCTTTTGAGAACATAGATGCAAAAAAATCTCAACAAAATCCTAGATAATAGAATCCAATATCGTATTTTTTCAAGATCATATTTTTTATTAATTTTAATAAAAGTTTACAGAGACTTAGAATTTCTAGTCATTCATTGTTGCACTTTTCCCCCTGCCCACCCCTTGCCCCCCAATTCACTCTTCTCCTTGGAAAGTAAAAGAAAAACTCTTTCATTGTTATGCAATCCCTTCCCCCAAGTCCACTTCACTGTACAACCTTCATTCTGAACTCCAGTCATGACAATAATATTCAATCATATATCCCTTTTAAAAAGTAGTCTCCCTCATGTTTCAGTGTAGGGTACATCATTCCTCCCCTCCTTCTCTGTCTTCCCTCAACCCCATCAACGTCCTATTTTTAAAACTATTAATCATCATCATCAAGTGGAATTCAGGCCTGATCCAAGCCATGGTCTTTTCATTTGCTTGTTATGCTGCTGAAAGGTGGACAGTGAGTAATGATGACAGAAGAATCTATGCCATTTGAATTGTGGTGGTAGACTGAATAGCTCACGGGCTGCCAAAAAATAAACAAGCCTGACTTGGAAGAGGTACAACCAGGGCACCCCTTAGAGGCAAGGATTCCTCACACATACTTTGGGCAAGTTGTCCGAAAGAGGCAGTCCTCGGAAAAAGACATCATGCTAATGCAAAGGTGGAGGGTCAGAGAAAGAGAGGACCCTAAACAGATGACACAGTGACTGTAAAAATGGGCTCAAACATATCAGAGAGGATGAGGATGGTTCAGGGTTAGCCAAGGTTCATGTATGTTGTTCACAGAATCTCTACGAGAAATAGAACCTTTGGAAGTCATAGGACTTGACAGCCCCTTAACACTGACAACAGTAATGCTAGTGCGTGTATAAAACCTCTGTGACTCAGTAAGAGGGTTACTGGATCTAAAGGACAGACTCAGCAAAGTGAGAACGCACAAGATCAATATACAAAAATCAGTCCAATTGCGCTACAATAGCAAAGAGAACTATGAAAAAGAAATAAAAACAAGGACATTCACAAAAGATTAAATATTTGGGAACAAACCTAATCAAAGATGTAAAGGCATATACAAAGAAGACGACAAATGCAAAGGCATTTGACTGTGTGAAACATTAGGAAGAATGGGAATCCCAGTGTGCTTAACTGCCCATCTGAAACCTAAATCTAGAGCAAGATCCTGCTGTCCAAATGGAGCAAGAGAACACTGCAGTTTAAAATTAAGAAAAGTGTACATCAGGACTGTAGCCTTTCTCCATACTGAAGGAAGAATACGGCAGTTGCCCCACCACCGCCAAGCTTGATCACTTCCTGAGAAACTTGATAACATCTAAGCTGGTCATATCAAAGACCACTCCAGACAATGGATCCTGATTAAGAGTCTGAGCTTGAAAAAAAGGTGCTAAAACCGAACTTAATTAACCATCTTAATTAAAATACCATCTTACTCCTCCCCAGGACCCCTATAAAAAGGAAACTCCCCCAAACTGCCCAAGGCCATTTTGATCCTGTCTGCTTGCCATGTGGTTGGGTCACTTGGAGCCTGTTCCCAATAAAAGCTTATTCGTTTCTTGGGACCAATTCCTTTCTCTATTTCTCCCCCCTCCC